AAAACCCTCCTGGATGTTCCTTACAAATTCTGCTCCATCTAAACCCCTAACACTAAGTGAATCCCAGTCAATGTTGGGAAAATTAAAATCTCCCATCACCACTACCCTGTTGCTCCTACACCTTTCCATAATCTGTCTACATATTTGTACCTCTATCTCACACTCGCTGTTGGGAGGCCTGTAGTACAGCCCCAACATTGTTACTGTACCCTTCCTATTTCTGAGCTCTGCCCATATTGCCTCACTGCTCGTGTCCTCCATAGTGCCCTTCTTCAGCACAGCTGTGATATCCTCTTTGACCAGTAATGCAACTCCTCCACCCCTTTTACCTCTGTCTCTATCCCGCCTGAAGCATCTATATCCTGGGATATTTAGTTGCCAATCCTGCCCTTCCCTCAACCAAGTCTCAGTAATAGCAATAACATCATACTCCCAGGTACTAATCCAAGCCCTAAGTTCATCTGCCTTACCTACTACACTTCTCGCATTAAAACAAATGCACCTCAGACCACCTGTCCCTTTGCATTCATCATCTGCTCTCTGCCTCCTCTTCCCCTTAGTCACACTGACTTCATTATCTAGTTCCTTACAGGCTTTAGTTACTACCTCCTTACTGTCCACTAACCTCCTCATTTGGTTCCCATCCCCCGCCACATTAATTTAAACCCTCCCCAACAGCGTTAGCAAAAGCACCCCCTAGGACATTGGTTCCAGTCCTGCCCACGTGTAGACCGTCCGATTTGTAATAGTCCCACTTCCCCCAGAACCGGTCCCAATGTCCCAAAAATCTGAACCCCTCCCTCCTGCACCATCTCTCAAGCTACTCATTTACCCTGCCTATTCTTTCATTTCTACTCTGACTAGCACGTGGCACTGGTAGCAATCCTGAGATTACTACCTCTGAGGTCCTACTTTTTAACTTGGCTCCTAACTCCCCAAATTCTGCTTGTAGGACCTCATCCCGTTTTTTACCTATATCATTGGTGCTGATATGCACCACGACAGCTGGCTGTTCACCCTCCCCCTTCAGAATGTCCTGCAATCGATCTGAGACATCCCTGACCTGTGCACCTGGGAGGCAATATACCATTCGGGAGTCTTGTCTTCGCCCACAGAACCGCCTACCTACTCCCCTTATAATCGACAACAATTTTCGAATATTTGAAACAATATTCGAATAATCAAGCAAGGCCAATTCATCACGACATAGCACTGTCAGATCCAACAAAACCCAATATAAACATAAAAGCTGAAGGTGCCACACTGGTATAGACATGCAATAGAATGAATCACTCTGCAGGCACTATTCCAGGGTTACAGGATCCGTGACAGAAGGTTAGGCTGGGGAAATGGGAATTGTTATCCTTGGACAGTGGAGATTGCGCAGAGGTTTTATAAAGGTGTACAAAATTATGACAGTTTTGAACTAAGGTAGACAATTAATCGTTGTCCTGATTAACTGATGATAAAAGGACTAGGTGTATAAATTGAGGATCTTGGAGAGGAGAACAGGGGAGATGTTAAGAAGAACATTTTATGCTACGAAAGCAATGATTTGAAACTCACTGTCAATGTTTTCAGAGGTAAATGGACGCACACTTGATAGGAAATAAACTTGCTGCAATAGAATGGAGAAATAGGGCTGACTGAATTACTCTACAGACAGCATGTGTACTCTGGACTGAATGGCTAATTTATGTGCCGTTCTAATCCTATGACTCCAACAGGAAGATCCCTCTTATCCCAACCAGATGCAGAAAAACCCAGAAACACTATCATTTGCATTGAACGTCATCAGAACTTTCTGCCAAAAAGAAAATAGAAGCCATAATTAAGGTTGAAAAATATTAAAGTCAATATAAGTTTCTGTCATTTGCGATTCCCTCCAGTTCTGGTGAAATGGCAACACCTGAAATTGTAATTTCACTCTTCAGATACAATCTGGTTGCTCAGTGTTTCCAGCCTTTTCTGCTTTTATTTCAAGTTACTTGCCTTCTTTGTTGCAGGAGAACCCTAGAGCTGGTTTCCCTGAGGCTGGGCATTTTCACGCGAAGTCAATCTGAAAAAGGGACCTCACAACAGTTCAGACCCTTATCTGCAAGTCTAAAGGGCAAAACTCCTGCTTCAGTTTAATGGCACATCTTGTTTGTCCTCACATAAAATGGCAGATGACCTTATCCAATAAAAGTGGTGGTGCAGTGGCAACGTCAGTGGGATGGTAATCCAAAGTCCCAAGCTAATGTTCGGGGGACATGGGTTCAAATCCTATTGTTGATTACAAAAGCTATTCTAACAGCAGGCATTGTTACGAAAAATCCATCCACTTTACTGATGCCCTTTAGGGAGGGAATTCTGCCACCCTTACCAATCTAGCCTACATGTGACTCCAGGCTCTTGGAAATATGGTTGACTCTTGACTACCCTTTTGAAATGTCAATCAATTCAAGGCAATTAGGGATAGGCAGCAAATTCTGACCTTGCCAATAACTCCCAGATCCTACATGAGAATTTAAGAAAAAAGGACTGAAGTGTGTGCAGTTCCTTTCTGCTAGATAAGGGATTTATTAGGTGTCTGAGGATCTGACAAAAACTGATGTAACACGATCAAATTTCTAGCTCAATGTTTATTTCCACCAATACTTAAGGTTTGAAGGCCATGCAGTTTAAATTTGGATATGACACAGGGGGCAAGTTGCCAACATTTTTGTTTCCAAGATGGTGATGCAGCTAAGCCACCTGGTGATGTTAATTCAGGGATGAATTTAACAACTGCGATGGTACAGATAAATAAGCCCACTCGCCCAATTTCAATACTTAATTGAGGCATACACTTTATTTTCCCTGTGAGCTATAAGGCCACTGCAGTTTTTGGACTCTTTAGCACATGGTTTCATTGCATTTTGTGAGACTTTGTCTTAAACCAATGGCTGCTATATTTCCCACATTGCAATAGTAACTTCAACACTATCTATGATATAAAGGTACATTGGGATCTCTCAGATCATAAAGGCACAATACAAGTGCATTTTTTTCATTCTTTACTTCCAGTAATGGACATCGCCTTCCACTTAAACAATTTTAGTTTTCCCCCACACTGCCATGCATTCCTTTCAGGTGATGCTCATTCTATCAGCACCCTTGCTTTTTATAGTTGGGGTACTCAATAAAAACTGTCCCTAAAAATAAGGAATGCAACAATTATAACTTACAATACTACCTACAGGGAATATGTGATATAAGTTCTACAACTGTATTTTCAATTGATCATTCTATAAAAGACCCTTGTCTTACTCCCCAGTCTGAAGCTGGGCTGAAGTGTTCTGTAAATGGTAAAATAATTATGATTGCAAGTTATTATCAGAGTATACAGTCATGAGAGGGTGATTACATTCTTTAATATCCCAGATACAAGATCATGTACTGTGTCTGTAACAACGGCGATATGTTTGGCATGCAGTGATTGCCAAAATGAGTCATTCTCTGCCAAAATTAAGGAGACTTGCAAAATTTGTCAAAGCCAATGTGCCTGTTGACACACAACAAACGTTCTGTGGTCAAGAGGTCATTGGGCAGCATGGTGGTTCAGTGGTTAGCAGTGCTGCCTCACAGCATCAGGGGCGCAAGTTTGATTCCAACCTTGGCCGACTGTCTGTGTGAAGTTTGCATGTTGTCCTTGTGTCTGCATGGGTTTCCTCTGGGTGGTCCAGTTTCCTCCACAGTCCAAAGATGTGCAGATTAGGTGGATTGACCATGCCAACATGCCTATAGTGTCCAGGGATGGGCAGGCTAGGTGGCTTAGCCATGGGAAATGCAGGAATAGGTCAGGGTGTGGGTCTGGGTGTGACGTTCTTTGGAGGGTCGATACAGACTCATTGGGGTGAATGGCCTCTATCAGCACGGTAGGAGCTGTATGATTGCCACCCTAATTAAGCCAAATTATTGCCTCATCCATGGAGCAGCACTACAGTAAATGTGCAATATCTGGATATTTCCTGTAAGCAGCACATTGATTATGAAAAGAAATGATGCAGCTTCACCTCAATCTATGAACACCTTCAGTATCAGGAAACTGTGTCCCTACTTTAAGATGTTTACAGCCTTTTCCTGAATTTGATGATTGTCTAGCTTTCCTTCAGTGCATATGATGCTGTCTAAATCGGTCTGAAAGTTTACTGTGTTGCACAATAAATCAATGTAGGAATTGAGCTGGTCTCTATATTCACAACAACACATTTGAACATCTTCTTCTCTGAATCATAAGTACATGCATGAGCGATTTAAGCCAGTTCTCTCAATATGCAATATATACATGTTCTCTGGCAATTTATTCATTTTTTTCTTCGGCATAGTTTGATTTTGGTTTCAACAGGACAGAAATATATGTAAGCTGAAACTTAGAATATTGCACAGCAACTGCTCCAATACACAGGCACACGTCCCAGTGACTCTCAAAAGAGGGCAGGAAATAGCTTGGATCACCCTGATGTCATCTTGGCTACAAGTCTGAGCTGACCAGACAAAGGATAAAAAATATAGGCGGAAAACGTGTCTCCTTTAACAAAAGTGGTGGAGCATTTATTTTTGGCAGGACACATAGAGAAGAAAATTTGGGCTGGGTATAAAATTGGCCACTGATTTGCTATCACCCATTTTGCAAAGAGCAATTTCACCTCTAAAAAATTCAAATAAATCAAAACTGAACAGTTACTATCTAAGAAGAAAAGTTAAATACTTTGTCTTTTTTTCATAACTTATCCAATATTAGGTTAAATTACAAAGTATTTACTTAATCTTTTTGTTTTTATATATGTAGATTGCTAGATCTAACTGTTGCAATTTATAGCAGAAATTACTAAGGGTAAAACTGATCTTTGGCATTTGAAAGGAAATTGAGCAGAGAATAAATCTTGTTGACCATTTTGTGCTAACGCAGAACTCTCAATGAGTGAACTTCATTGTGTTATCCTAACTCAAAGGTACAGAAAAAAAAATCTTCCTACCCAAAACACAATCAGGGCCGTAAGCTTCCTCATCTGCACACTCCTCACAGGCACTTCCTTTGTACTTTGGCTGCACCAAAAGAAAATCAGTTTCAACAGACTAGGAGAGAACCCAAGAATCGACAGAAATATTATTATCTGGAGGTTCACTTAATATCATGGTACACATGAAGAAACATATTATATTCTAAAGCCGGTGAACTGTTGACTGAACAACCTGGTGAGCTTTGCTTATCGTAGCATTCTAAGAAGTGTCTGTGATGACATCAAATAGAAATTAATTCCAGCATCGCAGCGTAGAAAAGTGTAAAGACTGCAATTAAATTGCATATAAATAATCCAACATCACATGGCTGAGGTAGACAACTAGAAATTCATGTGCATAAGGCAGAACAATGCACAAATGGTAAAGCAGCATTGATGAAACAGTCACTTGAAATAAAATTATCTTCCAAAACAAAATTCCCTCACCAAAAAAATCACTTCACAAGCTATAAGTTCATGTGTAAAAGTTTATCATGTCAAAACCACAAATGTACCAAGCAATTAGATGAATATAGTCTTAAAAAGTGTGAACTGACCTCACAAATGCAGGTTCCATTCCCTGAAACTCCATCTAAACATGTACCATGTCCATTGCAAGGGTTTGTTGACCCACCAGGGCATTCTAGGGTAGACAACATGTTATTATTTTGCATGGCATTCGTGTTTTAGATTTTGCATCAAAAAATGTATTAAGCAAGATCTACAACAGATCATTTGCAAAACTTTATTTGGTAGCAATACAGTAATATATAGGCTCCAAACACAACTTCCAGGTGAAGCAGTGTTTTACTTGTACTTCTTTCAATCTAGTTTACTGCATTTGTTGCTCACAATGCGGTCCCCTTTACATCAGCAAGATGAAATGCAGACTAGGTGATTGTTTTTCGGAACACCTCTGCTCCATCTAAAGGAATGATCCTGACCTCCCAGTTGCTTACCATTTTAATAAACCATCTTGCTCCCATGTTTACATTTCTGCAATCATTCCAATGAAGCACAACACAAGTTCAAGGAATAACATCTCATTTTCTGCTTAGGCATTTTACAGCTTTGAGATCTCAACACTAAATTCCATATTTTCAGAAACAGACTTAATTATGCCTGCTTTCTTGTTTTCTTACATTCCACCCTCCAATCCTCATTAAACTACAGCCTTACTTGTGTCTTATTTACTTTGCTGTTAGTAGACAGTACCCATTCTCTCCCTTTCACACCTTAATTTATACCCATTTTATAACAGTTTTTCTCTTTCACCATCATTAACAATCTCTGTGTCCTTTGCACTGGGCCTCTGCACCATTAGTCCTCTTGCTCCTCTTCTGTCTCTGTCAAGAATATATTTTATCAAAACATTTTCCAACACCTCTCAGCTCAAAAGAAGAGTCAAACTGGATTTGAAATGTTAACTCTGTTACTCTCTCCACAGATGCTGCCAGATCTGCTGAGTTTCTCCAACATTGTCTGTACGGTAATATATTTGTTGACATTACAATAGTCGTACTCTAGAAATAACATATTGTTGATTTCAATATAAAAGATTGTTATCTGAAATGTATTTTGTTAATTACTGGTATTATTCAGCCATCAAAATTACACACAGCAAGGATTCAAAAGGTTGCTACAAACAGAGCATTTGTTCTATTAATGCAGTAAACCTAGACACACATTTCCATGAAATATCACTTAGAATGGAGGATATGAGTTATGCGAATGAGGAAGGACATGAAGCTAATTAAATTGTTACTTCAAAAGGCTAGCACAGGGATGATGGCCTAAATGTCTTCCTTCCATATGAAATATTTTATGACATTCTTTTGCACACATTCTAAAGTGCAGGGTATAGCGTTACATATAGCAAGACATTGCTGACTATTGCTGATTATTGCTGACTATTTTACCTAGTAAATTCATTTAGTATTGTTCTTGTCTTCTTTATTACTGTAATACTCTAGTATCTAAGCAAAAAGGCATTCGATTCTCTAGCTAATACTAGCCTTGTGAGGGCCAGGGAGAGGCCACCACTATGTTCCGGAGTGATGGAAAAAGTTTTGGACTTGGAATTTCGAGGTGACTAACTCACATCTTGATTCCTCAAAAGGAAACCTTGTAATCTATCTATGATCTACAAAGTGCAAGTCAGGATTGCTTAGCTCTGTAAAGAGCACAATGGAATACTGTCCACTTGCCTGAATGAGCTGCTCCAATAACACTCAAGAAGAGAAACACCCTTCAGAACAAAGCAGCCTATTTGATCGGCATCCTAAACACCAATCTAAACAATGACTCCCTCCAAATCCATGATCTCTACCACCTAGAATGACAAGGGCAGAGAAATAGGGGAGCAAATTTCTTTCCAATTTTTATCCAAACAGTAGGGGAAAATCTCAATCTCACAACAACAATGCGGGTGTAGTGATAGCTCATGAATGGTTCAAGAGGGTGATTCACCACCACCTTCTATGGCCAATTAGGAATGTGTTATGTATTATATTTGGTATATGTTATGCTGGGACAGTGTGATCATTGGCGAGTAACACTGGTGCATCATTAGCCAGGTTTGCAGGCTTGTTCAGACTTGCATTGAGCTTTTACAGACAGCACAGCTATGGAATAAAGCCACCTACTGGGTTGCAGCAAGCAATGAGTTCATATGTTTTTTTGTTCTGACTGGAGCCCAGGAACTGCTTGATAGAGGACAACTGGCAGGGACAGTGGGGTCGGTCAGCATGAGAGAGAAAAAGAGAAGAAAAAGTAATTGTTTTTTCACTTGTGGGTGCATCCAGACATTGGGCCAACAGTGCAGGAACCACACCCAACATCCTACCCAGTACGAGAGACAGAGAGAGAGTGATGGGGAAAAATGGCAGATTCCTTGCTCCCAAACATTAAAAAAGGAGAAAATTCAAACTTTAAGTGGGAGGAAACCACATCTCAGGCACAGAGACAGAGAAAGGGAAAACAATCCCACATTCAGAGTTAATTTATGAAAAGCCGCTGCAATTCGGCTCAGACCTGCAAACCTAAGGAGACAATATTGAATTTAAGAAGGGTTTGAATGCAAAAAGGAACTGATTGTATATCCCAAGTTAAAAACAAAATGACAGACCAATTTGATGCCATCAGACCCTTTGAAGAAGGGTTGAAAGGCTGGAAACACTACACTGAAAAATTCAGATATCATATTCGAGCAAATAGAATTGTAGATAAATTAGTAATACTGGTATTCCTCATCTCGCAAGGCAGCAAAGCCTTTAATTTACTTAGGAGCCTTCTCTGCTCAGACTGCCCTGAAAACATAACATAAAACGGCTCATTGGTATTTTGAAGGACCATTATTCCCCAGAACCCCTACTAATTGCAGAGAGGTTCAAATTTCACAAGAAAGAATTGGAAAGGGAATCATTGACTCAAATCTTCGCGACCCTTAAGCGCCTTGTACAACAATGAATTTTGAAATGTTTTAGATGAGGCCTTAAGAGAGAATGGTATGTGGCCAATAAAATGAGGCCACCCAGTAGGGGCTGAGTGAAATCTATATCCACATTGGACATTGTGGTGTCTATGGAGTTGGCAGCCAAAGAAGCTACGCAGTTCAAGCCAAGTTCCCGAGTACATAAAATGGTGGACACACCAAAGAAACCTGCACAGCAGCAGGAGTGCCACAGATGTGGACTGCTGGTGCAGGGAGGCCCAGTACAAGAACTGTGAGCAGGCCACATTGCTCAGGCCTGCTGCAGGATTCTGAGCAGTCCTGAGTAATCTGTGCCAAAGAAAAGTCACATAAAACCAAGGAAGAAGGTCCATGCTGCAGGATGTGAGGAAGATGTGGATGCCACTCATGAATCAAACATCTCCAGTGAAGAATTTAAACTGAACATTCTGGCGGTCCAGGGTGAAATGCATAAATTTTGGGTTTTGTCCAAGTTGGATGCAGAACCTATCAAAATGGTGGTTGACAACTGGGACAACATTTTCATTTATTCCCAAAACAATTTACAACCCAAAGCAGAGACATCTACCTCTTAAAGCACTCCAATATCACTCTCAGGATACACATAGACCAGATGATGGTAATGGTGATGGTGTAACTGCAGAACCAGGCCATTCGACCACCCATCCATATTGTGAGAGGAAATTACTCAGCTTTATTTGTGTGCTCGTGGCTACAGAAATTAATATGGGGCATTGTGAATAAATCGGTTGACTGACACTAGTCCACAAGACATCTTAAATAAATACCACAGTGTTTTTGAAGACCCCCTTGAAGAAATGAGAACCTAAAGAACTGCAAATGCTGTAAATCAGAATGAAAACAGAAGTTGCTGGAAAAGCTCAGCAGGTCTGGCAGCATCTGTGGAAAGAAACCAGAGTTAACCTTTCAGATCCAGTTCTATGGAAGGACCCAAAACATTAACTCCGATTTCTCTTCACAGATGCTGCCAGACCTGCAGAGCTTGAAGGAATGAGTTCAGGTTCAACTCAAATTGAAACCAGACAGCCAACCCAAAAGTCTGCTGGCGCACACTGTTCTGTACGACCTCCATCTGAAAGTAGAGGCTGAATGGCTGAGACTGGTGGACACTGGTGTACTCGAACCAGTAACAACGAGTGATTGGGCACTCCTGATCATGCCCACTTTAAAACAGAATGGATGGCTCCATATTTGTCGTAACATCAAACATACTGTTAATCCAGTGCTATGCGCAGATAAATATCCACGGCCCTTGATGGGAGATCTGTTCAGTTGGCCTGGCACTGGGGCAAAATTCACAAAGATAGATCTCTCACAGGCTCACCTGCAGACAGGAATGGCTGCTGAATCTCAACACCTGTTGACTACTGTGACTCATCGTGGCTTCTTTCACTCCTCCTTATTTCAGATGTTTACGCACCAAATCCTATGTGGGCTAAAAGGAATAAAATACTGCCTCGATAGACGAAGGGCATTTGGGGAATCTGGAGGACACCCTAAAATGGCTGCAAGTACACAGAGTTTAAAAAAATTTTTCTCCTTCTAGAACTTGATTGAATACTTAGGGCACATTATCGACAGTAAGGGGCTTCAAAAGGCACCAAGATAAATGGAGGAAATCATGGATGCCCCTTGGTCTCCTGTTGTGTCCCAATTAAGGTCTTTCCTGGGTCCTGTGAATTATTATGGAATATTCGTTCCAAAGTTGGTGACCCTTCTGAAGTCATTACACAATCTTATACTCAAAGGTCAGTCTTGGAAATGGAATCTGGATTGTCAGCGAGTCACTTTCAAACAGATACACGAGAGGTCAGATATATTGCTTCATTTCGACCCTGGGTTGCCTTTGGCATGTGATGCTTCACTCTACAGAATTGATGCAGTGCACCCAACCCAAAAGAGAAGATAAATCAATTGTCTTCATTTTGCACTTTCTCATGAGTGCAGAGACAAGATATGCCCAACTGGAGAAGGAGGCCGTCAGCATCATTTTCAGTGTGAGAAACTTTTATCACTACTTTTATGACTGCTACTGGACCATTGTTCTCTCCCATCTATCTTCAGTCTGTACACTGGGATCCTGTCAATGGTGGCCAGCCTGTTTCAGAGGTGGGCCCTATTCCTCTTGGTACATTCATAGAGATACTAAATCCAGGCAGTTAGAGCAACACACCAGGTAGGAACCTCTTGGAACTCAAGCCATGTGTCCTGAAGGTGGAAGTTGTTGGTTCAGAATAGCTGTCTACAATGGGGAATGAAGGTGATCATCCCTCTGATCGCACCTTACAAGGTGCTAGAGCAGTTGCACCATGGTCATCCAGGTGTGGGGAGGATGAAAGAGTTTGCCAGGAGCTATTTTTGGTGGCTAAATTTGGATGCCCAGATTGATGAAAAAGCCAGTTTGTGCCAAAATCCAAAATGCACTGGCACTGTTGTCATTACACCGTAGAAATGGCCTAAAGTGCTGTAGTACCATTGTCAACCTTGATTTTTGCTGGCCACCTTGAGGGCCAGATGCTGCTGGTGGTCGTTTGCTCATTCTAAGTGGCCAAAGCTGGCAATAATGATGGACACTTCTGCTGAGCTGACCATAGAGAAACTGGACGAAAACTGGACATGTGCTTCAGTGAACCTGAGTAGTTTGTCAGTGACAACAATCCTCAGTTCCTCATGCAGGAATTTACTGACTACATGAAATATAACAGCATTTGGCACATTACGTCAGTGCCCTAGCATCTCTCAATCTGTGGTCTAGCAGAAAGTTTCATGCAATTGTTAAAGCAATCAGTGAAAGCATCCAGGAGAGGGGCCACTAGTTCAATGAGTCAACAAATCCCTGGCCTTATACCAAAATACACCTCATGCAAATACCCAGAACTCGCTGGCATATGTGTTGTTTAAAACCAAGTTATGAACAACGTTCAGAGATAATAAGAACTGCCGATGCTGGAGTCAGAGAAAACACAGTGTGGAGCTGGAGGAACGCAGCAGGCCAGGCAGCATCAAAGTTGACGTTTCGGGTGGGGACCCTTCTTCAGAAATTACGAACTGCATTTGATCTGTTTCCACACAAACAAACACATACAATTATCTAGAAGAATCAGTTAGCCCAGATGTGCAGAAGGGAAACGGACTCCAAACGGTGCTCTTTCCTTCAAGGCGACGAAGTACTGGGATGAAGCTACAGCACTACTGACAAGTGGGAGCTGCCATTTTGCTAGTCATCATTACCAAACAACCAGCACAATGTTATTAGTCAAATTCACAAACACATTTCAGAATCCATGCCTATAACCTTCATTCTCCCACAGCATCTTGACTTGGCTCCAATTCCAATTGGTTCTCTTTATTGTTGCTAACACTAAGCAAAGCTTGTCCAATGGTGGAAAAACCAAAATGCAAGGCCCAATAATTCTGAAGGAATTCTGTTCTGAGGAAGAGTCACTGGACCCAAAATGTTAACTGATTTCTCTTCACAGATGCTGCCAGACCTGCTGAGTTTTTCCAGCAATTTCTGATTTTGTTTCTAATAATTTTGACTACTGGCAACCCAGTAAGAGCTAACAGTCAGACTTCAATGCTGCTATTATTGTGTGGGCATAGACCATTCCATTTCAAAGTAAACACACCACACTTAATGATCAAAAGGAGAGCTCTTGTTCTTTGTTTCCAAACCACTTTATTGGAGTCATTTAGCTAAATGCATCTTGTGCACAAATTACCAAATCATAACTACACACTCTAAACTTTGATCTATGAAGAAAAAGTATGTTTAAAACTGTAATTGCTGCATCCCCTTGAAATAAAGACAAGTGGGCTAATATTAGTAGAGTTAAAATTAAAATGCATTATGATCTTGAAATAAGTGCTGTAGCTATGCTTGATTTCTTTCAAGTTATAGCAATACAGCCTGTTTTAAGCACATTATTCACTGCTACACAGAGCCGTGAGATAAAAGACACTAAAAATCCAGGCAACATGGTTCAGTTATCACGGCAATCAGAAGAACCAAGGCTGAAGGTTGAGATTACAGGAGCCTTCAGGAGGTTGAGGATTATAAATAAATGCTGAAAACTCTGTATTTTTGAGAAGCCTTTAGGTAACTAAGGTAACCTTCTCCCTTGCAAATAATCCAATAAAACCTTTATTTGCTTAAATGAAGTAGACTTAAAAGTGGTCATTTTTCTTGGTGGATAAGTATGTTAGATATGATTGTTAGATAGTTAATGAATATAATAAGTGTGAGCTTGTGGTGCAGCAGTAGCACATCTGACTCCAGATTAGGAGGTTGCATGTTCAAATCACATCAGGCTCATGGTGTTTGGCAGCAGCATAGCACTCCTGATTTACTTTGGGTCAGAGCTTGTTGTCGGGGGGTGCTGCTGGATCAGTTTCTCCTATTCAGCAGCTTTCAACTACATGTGATGGGGCAGCACGGTAGTTCAGTGGTTAGCACTGCTGCCTCACAGCGCCAGGGACCCGGGTTCAATTCCACCCTCGAGTGACTGTCTGTGTGGAGTTTGCACAATTCTCCCCGTGTCTGTGTGGGTTTCCTCCAGGTGCTCTGGTTTCCTCCCACAGTCAAAAGATACGCAGATTAGGTGGATTGGCCATGCTAAATTGCCCGTAGTGTTCAGGGATGTGTAGATTAGTTTGGTTGTAGGGGGATGGGCCTGGGTGGGATGCTCTGAGGGTCAGTGTGGGCTTGTTGGGCTGAATGGCCTGTTTCCACACTGTAGGGATTCTATGATCTAAGAAATTAAAAGATGTTACTTGTATCTAACTGTATAGGAGAGGTAATAGGTAGACTTTATGTCTACGGCTTTACACTATGCCTACTTGTAGCCTACCTTTAAAGGCTGCATAGATAAAAATACCATGTCCGTGCATTCTCTCAAGCAATTTCTGATGGATCCTTCAAGGCATTATTTGAAAGGGTGATGGTGAGCCACTTACTGAACCTTAACGTCTAGGTACACCACAGAGTGGTTAGGGAGAGAGTTCCAGGATTCTGACCAAACAATGATAAATGATTGATAGTTTAGTTCCAAGTCAGGATGACGCAAGTGGCAATGCACCTGCTGTCTTTATCTTTCTAGGTGGTAGAGTTTGCACAGTTTAGAAGCTGCCGTCGGAGAAGATTTGATATGTTGCAGCTGTGCATTTTATACATGGTACAAATTGCTACCAAATTTATGCACAAGATGCATTTAGCTAAATGACTCCAATAAAGTGGTTTGGAAACAAAGAACAAGACCTCTCCTTTTGATCAAAAAGTGTGGTGTATTTACTAGCCTGTTCTGTATCCAGTGCCATCAGCCTTGATAACATGAAACAGATTTGCTGAAAATTGACAACTGATGAGTATAAGAAATGCCTAAATGAATCAGATATTCAAGACTTCTCACAAAAATGGTTGCAAATAATTCAGTCCAGGAATGGGAGCTGTTTGTTCTTCTCCTCCTCTCTGGTGAATTTTATTCTGGTGAGGGTGTTGTTTATAAGTTTGTGTGTCTCTTCTAGTTTGGTCCGTTTAATGTTGACAAAGGTACCATCAATACACACATAGAATTCAACCCCATATACACTCCACTATGAAGGAAAACCGGAAGTGAGGCAATCCAGCTCAACGGAATCCAGAGTTTAAAAACCAGGCGGGAAAACACATTGACGCTTCATCGGAGGCTGCACTGAGAATGTTACCCAGCACGGTAATGAAACGTCTGCAGAACAACAAACCAGCTTGGTGAGCCAACCAACCTCAAAACCCACAACCCGAGCTACAAATCTACTCCAAAACCTTGGTTCTGTCATGAATTGCTATGGGACCAGTCTGGCAGAAATGTGCTTTAGGACTTGGCCAGTTTGATCAATAATGTGGTTACTAAAACACACTTGGTGGGCATTGAAGTCCCTCAACCAGAGTACATTCTGCACCATTGATGCACTCAGTGCTCCTTCAAACAAGCAGTGTTTAACATACAGGAGGACTGATTAACTGGCTGTGAGAAGATGATGGATGGTAATCAGGATGAGATTTCATACTTTATCCATATTTTGACTTGATGCATGAGATTTTATAGGATTGGGAGTCAATGTTGAGGATTCCCTGGACGACTTCCTGCTGACTGTGCCACCATCTCTCGTGTGTATTTCTTCCGATGGGACAGAAAATACTAGAGATGATAAAGGAGTCCAGGATTTTGCTAGCTAGGTATAAATCTGTCACCATGACTATTTTAATTCTTTAGGACTGCTCTCCCAATTTTGGCACTGATCCCCAGGTGTAAGTGAGGAGGACTCTGCACAGTCAGTGAAATGGGTGTGCCTTTGTGTCCCTGAGTTAGTGCACAGGGCCCACTCAATCATATTCTTGCTATAATTTTTCATAGTGATTCGATACAACTGGCAGAGGAGAGTTCAGAATCAGCCACACCACTATAAATCTGATGTCACATGTTGGCCAGACAAGGACAGCAGATATCCTTCCCTTTTTGTGAACCAGACAACAATCAGTAGTTTCCAAAGTCACCATCCCTAATACAAAGTTTCTAACTCCAGATTTATTTAATTAACAGAGTTTAAATTCCTCAGTTGCCATGGTTGGATTTGAACCTGCGTGCCCAGCTAATTAGTCCAGGTTTCTGGATTACTAGTCCAATAACACAAATGCTATGCTACTGGATCTTCAGTGCAAGCAGGTCAGCCTTAGGAATGTCAATGTATATAATGACAGAATATGACCAACACAGAGCTGTAAGCTGTATATTGATTTATACCATTTGTACGCAATTAGCATTTGATTTGTTTCTAAAAACCCAATTTACTTTATGAAATAATTCAAGAACATTGAACTTGCAACTTAGCTCAATTTAATTAATATTACCGAAAACAAAACACCAATATTATCAAAAAACAGCTCTTATCAAGTGGGACAAGAGATTAAATTTACCAGTTACGGTATATGCAAATAAAAAGTTGTAACATAATTTGCAACCCAGAAAGCACTGTAGTAGGTTAGTCTCTCTCGCTTACAAAATCATTACTCACCTAGGCAGTCCTGACTCCAGAATCCTGCACAACATTCGAATACTGTGGCCATTTTTGTGCACAGGTGTCTGCAACCAACTTGTCGAATCAGCTGTTCTCCACCCAGATCCACAGTAAAACTTTAAATGTAAATATATCATAAACATAATATCGTTAAAATACTGTGCAGAAAGAATATTACACACATTTCATCGTATTTTGCTGAACAGGAAAATTGTGTCGGTATGCTTTCATAAGCTGTACACGTGATAGACTCTAACGTTTCAGAATAAAAAGTGATTTTCAATCAAATTTGATCTTAATTCATCCCTTTACAGTTTTAACACTGAAAAGTTTGTGAAGAATATTTTTTACTTTGAGGATAATATCACTTTTTTTCCCATAATGTGATAGCGAATGGAAGTCTCCCCCTTACCTTTATTTACCAACAATCTAGGAGAGCTGACAGTGAGATGAGGAGAAACTTCTTTACTCAAGAGAGTTGGTAGGATTTGGAATGCATTGCCTGCGAGAGCGATAGAGGCAGTTTCCATAAGAGGTTTACAAAAGAGAACTGGATAAATATTTGAAAGTGATGAATGTAGATGGCTATGGAGAAAAAGCTGGAGAATGGGACTGGCTGGGTAGCTCTTTCAGCAGCCAGTATAGACATGATGGGCTGAACAGACTCCTTTTGTACTGTAAAATTCTATGATGTGATTACCTCACTGCCAACTATTCCTCTAAAGTACAAACCTCTGCTAATGTAACATAAACTTTCACTATTAGCACCTGAAAATGACCTGGTCAGATGTCTATTACCATCTTCCTCTTCTCTAAAGTATCAAAATTTGTGTCGAGTCCTGAAATCCTAGACAAGTTAGCTTGCTCAGGGTTCCCTGCTGAAGGTTGCACATGTTGTCATAGCGACATCTTTGCAAGTCTAAAATAATATGCAGAACACAGGAAATCAACACCAAAAAAATGATTTATTTTGATGCATGTGTGTATAAATATGTAAATATATACATATATATAAAAGCATCCTGTTGTGGACTACATATATATATCTTTCTTAACTTCCCTAAGAAAGTTGTGGAGAGCCTGCACATTGAATTAGTGAATCCCTTTTCCCAGGCTAGCAGGACTATGTATAGAAATCCCTAGATTTCTGAATATTGACACCACTTTGACAGTTTCTTGTATGACAGCCACAGACCTGCTTAACAATGTTTTTGTAATCAGATATTATCTGAAATCATGGGATTGATGGTGTTCACAGGGTACCATTTGGGAAGATTTGCACTTGAAGGACTTTCACCTGGTGAAAGGTAATGCTTTACTTCCACAGGGAAATCATGAAAATGTTGCTCTATGAAAATGTAACATTTATCACTTGGGCCAGAACTTTCCTGACAACAGTGAACATTCACCATCTGATTTGGAGATTTGATTTGATTTATTATTGTCATATGTACTGATATACAGTGTAAAGTATTGTTTTGCGTGCTAACCAGACAAATCATAGCTTACATAAGTACATCAAGGTAATAGGACAGAATGCAGAATATAGTGTTACAGCTACAGGTGCAGGGAAAGATCAACTCTTATACATGAGAAGTCTGTTCATAAGTCTGACTTCAGCGGGGAAGAAGCTGTTCTTGACTCTATTGGTCCATGTTTTCAAACATTCGTATCTTCTTCCTAATGGAAGAAAGTATAACAAGGGCAGGAGGGGTCTTTGATTATGTTGGCTGCTTTTCCGAGGATGGAAGGCTAGTTTTCCTGATGGACTAGGCTGCGTTCACAACTCTGTGATTTCTTGCAGTCTTGGGCAGAGCAGTTACCTGTGATGCATCCAGATAGAGTATAAAAATTGGTAACAGTCATTGTTTCCTTAGTCTCCTGAGGAAGTAGAGGCATTGGTATGCTTTCTTGACTGTAACATCGACATGGATAGACCAGGATAAATTGATGGTGATATTTACTCCTAGGAACTTGAAGCTCTTGACCACCTCCACCTCAGCACCATTGATACAGAGAGGGACATGTCCTCCACTCTGTTTCCTGAAGTTGATGATCAGCTCCTTCATTTTGCTGAGTTTGAGGGAGAGATTGTTGTCTTTACAGCATGCCACTAAGCTCTCTATCTCTTTCCTGTACGCCATCTCATCGTTGTTTGAGGTCTGACCCACTACAGTGGTGTCATCAGCAAATTTGTAAATGGAGTTAGAGCTGGATTAGGCCACACAGTTGCAAGTGTATAAGGAATATAGTAAGGGACTGAGTATGCAGCTTTGTGGTGCAGCAGTGTTGAGGATTATTATGGAGGAAGTGTCGCTTATCCTCACTGATTGTGGTCTGCAGGTCAGGAAGTCAAGAGTCCAGTTGCACAGGGAGTAGCAGAGTCCTAGGTCTCAGAGCTTGAAGGTGAGTTTTGATGATATGGCTGAGCTTCTGCCATTCCCACCTTTTGGAATACCCCATGATGGTGTATAGATAGTGGGCATCCTTCCTGATTCCTTTCACCACTCACATGTCCCTCAAATCTCGCAGCCCATTTTCAATTGGCTGGTAAAATCCTAACCTTGTTATATTTGCGCAGTGTAGACTGGCTGATCAAGAAAGTGTCCCTTTGGTAGTTTGGCAGCATCCACTACTGTGTAAGCTTCAGGCACTGATGTAGATAGTGTTCACCCTGTTCTAGAATCCATCCTGTAGCCAATTGCAGAACTCTGGCATCAGTTTTCTTATGAAGCATAAGAGGTAAAGACAACTCTAAAACCAAAGTAAAATACGGTGAATGCTGGAAATCTGAATTAAAGACAGAAAATGTTGGAGACATTCTGAGAGCACCTGCGAAGGGAGGAATAAAGTTAATATTTTGAGTCCCAATGCATTTGAACAAGCATCATATTGGACTCAAAACATGAATTCTGTTTCTCCAGCACTTAGGTTTTTTGGCAAAGACCGCTCTCCTGGGACATATTGGGAGATACAAATAAGGTCCAAAAGCACAAATTTCAGTATAGTGGCAGTGCAAAGGAAGAATCTCTCAAGTGTTGCACGCTGCATTTGTTCCTCATCATGGATGCTTCCTTATCCAAGCATTGCAGTTCTGTGAAGCATCCCAAGAACCAGCCTTCCTCAACATTGGGTCTAGGCCTGCTAGGCAGCTGCTTGGCCTGCTGTGTTCATCCAGCTCTACACCTTGTTATCTCTCTTCCTCAACATTTACCGTGTTTCAAACGGCAACAGCAAACGGGAGTAATAAAGAGACGTTTTTATGGATAAATAAATCCCAGAGATAGCAGGCTTAGACATGAAGCAAATTGTACCACATTACAATTGAAAATGCAAATTAAATAACAATTGTCACAACTACTCCAAAATAATAATTTCTACGTTAAATCTTAACATTACGAAGGCAACCAACAAGACACAAAGATGATGCATCACTGAAAAATTAGGAATTCTGCCAAGGCACCTCATTTAAATGCAAATTTAATCACAAATTATCCACACATTTTTCAGCAGTTTGGCTTCCTTGTGGTCCTAAAATTACCATTTAACAATGCAGCTTAAAAATCATACACATCCTGTTTTTCAAACCTACTGTTAAACTTAGTGCCCTGGTAAAGTTCCTTGATTTGTTACAATTCCAGACAAGATACCCCAAAATGTTAAGCTCCTGGATCAGGAGGGATGACCTGTCTCACCTTTTTTATTCACCCACCCCCTCGGCTGACCTCTTCAAACAGAAAAGACAAAATGTGCCTGTAGTTTGGGACATATTCCGCTAAAGTGGTTGACTGTTGAACTGGAGGTTGTCCAATTTCTCATTACCTTTGTAGTTAGAAGAGATTACAGTCCCAGTCTTTTTAGACTTGCCTCTTGCCCCTTTGAAAGCTTGTGGTTTGGCTGGTTCGTTAGCTCAGTTGGCTGGATGGCTGGTTTACAATGCATAGTGATGCTGACAGCATGGGTTTAATTCCCACATCAAGTGATGTAACCACGAAGGACTCTCCTTCTCAGCCTCACCCCTTGCTTGAGGCACGGTGACCTCAAGTTAAACCACCAGCAGCTGTCTCTCTTCTGTGGGACTATGGTGTTCCCTGTTTGAAGTTCCCTTCACATTTTCAGGTGTGACATTCCAAGGGACACCCACTCTCTCTCTTTCTCTCTCTCTCTTTCCAGGCAGACACCTAATTTACATCTGCAGCTATTTTTTGCTGTATCAGTCCTCTTTTATAAACCATATTTTGGAATTGCATGTTGAAAATGTTTATAGTAATTTTGAGGTTCTGATCCAAGGTCATGACACCATGCGAACTACAAATCTGGCTCTGCATCATCAGCACAAACTTGTTAAATTAGGCTATGTAGGAAATTAGGAACATAGAAGCAGGAGTAGGCCATTCAGCCCCTCAAACCTGCTCCACCATTCTACATCATGGCTAACCAACCATCTTAATGCCATTTTCTCATACTATCCCCCTATCCCATGATATCATCATTAGTATCTAGAAATTTATCAACTACTGACTTGAACATTTTCAATGACTGAGCTTCCACAGCCTTGTTGAGTTGAGAATTCCAAAGATTCACAACCCTCTGAGTGAACAAATTCCTCATCAAGTCAGTCCCAAATGGATTTCCCCTTACTCTGAGACTGTATTCCTTGGTTCTAGACACACGCCAAAGGAAACATCCTTTCTGCATCTACCCTGTGTATTCGTTGAAGAATCCTTTAAGTTTCAATGAGATCACCTCTTGTTCATTCTAGAAAATACAAGCTCAGCCTCCTCAACCTCACCTCTTAGCTCAGTCCAGCCTCCCAGGAATTAGCCTGGTAAACACTTCCTGCACTGAGTACATCCCTCCTTAGGTAAGGGGATCAAAACTGAAAATAATAATCCAGGTTCAATCTCACCAAGATGCTATAAAATTGAAGTACACACAGTAATCAGATTATACTTATGAGTGTTACAGTATTGCTATAACCATGGAATTACTTTCTGTAGTATATCCTCTGTAATCATTTAGTGCCAAGTGGTTTAATTGAACTTGAGGTGTTGTCTTTCATGGAAACTACCTGCAGTCTCTGATCCCGAAGTCTTGAGTGATCTTCTGGAAGCCTCGAGGACACAAGAGATTTTGGCTTATTGCACAGGAGGTACAGGCCGTGGCTGTTGTCAGCTTTATCTGTTCATTGCATTTTTGACGTTTCTAAGATTGTTGAAAAACAGGAAGAGAACAGGTACAAAACGTTTACGTCAGCCAGATCAAGGACAATTTTCAGCTTCATCTCTTTGGTTGTAAACTGACAGATGAGTTCCGTGCCCCTTATTAAATCTATTTGATTGTCATTTCCATTTAACATATTGGGGATAAAAATGGGATTCATTGTGCAACTCAGGAACGCACCAGGGTCTGAACCAAAGATGGTCACAGTTAATACCTTGCTCTCAACTATAATGCCAGGAATCATATCAATGTTAATGTATTAATTTGCCTGCAAACCCATTGTATTTTATGGAAAGAACACGTTTGAACTCAGTACAGTCGGTTCTGATATAGCGCCTATTTCTTCAACACGCATTGGTTTTAACGTGATTGAAGAATTATAGAACGACATTTGTAGAATGCGAACTTTCCCAACCTGTATTGGCTATAACACAATTCCGTCCCCATTACTTTAAATGGCGCTGTTATTGCACAGTTTTCCTATAACGCAGGTTCACACAAGAACAGAACTATCACATTATATCAGAGCTGACTGCAGTCTAAATTGCATTCCTTTTGTCACTGTGCATTATACTGAAATGATCAATCAACAAAAAATATTTTCAAAAAGAATTTGAAAGTCCAAAATGATCCATACTTGGTCAATTCATTGGTACTGAGAAATAAAAAGGGGATGATTAGTTTGATGGGATTGTACAATAGGCCCCCCAGTAGTCAACACGAAATTGAGGAGCAAATATGTAGAAAGATCACAAATAGGTGTAAGTATTCAGGGTTGTAATAGTAGGGGATTTTAACTCTCCAAACATAGACTGGGACTGCCACAGAGTTAATGGCTTGGATGGGGAGGAATTTGTTAAATGTGTCAAGAAAACTTTCTCAATCAATATGTAGACGGCCCTATTAGACAAGGGGCAAAATTTGACCTCCTCTTAATAAGGCAAGGGCAAGTGACTGAGATGTTAGTGCAGGAGCACTCTGGGACCAGTGACCACAAGCCAATTAGTTTTAAAGTAGTTATGAAAAAGGATAGGCCTGGTGCACTAGTTAAACTTCTAAACTGGGGCAAGGCCAATTTTGATGGTATTAGACAGGAGCTTTCAAAAGTTGACTGGGGGAGGCTGTTCACAGGTAAATGGAGATCTGGCAAGTGGGATGCTTTCAAAAGTGAGATAACAAGAGTTCAGGGACAACATGTTCCTGCGAGTGTGAAGGGCTAGGTTGGCAGGAGTAGGGAATACCAGAAGACTACAGATATTGAGGCTCTGGTCAAGAAAAAGAAAGAGGCATATTTCAGGTAGGTCAGACAGCTGGGATCAAGTGAATCCCTTGAGGAGTATGGGGGTACATGAGTACACTTAAGAGGAAAATCAGGACAGCAAAAAGGGGACATAAGCTAGCTTTGGCAGATAAGGTTAAGGTTAATCCAAGGAGATTCTACAAAGTATATTAAGGGCAAAAGAGTAACTAGAGAGAGAATAGGGCCCCTTACAGATCAATGAAGCCACCTATGCGTGGAACCACAGGAAATGGGTGAGATCCTAAATGAATATTTCACGTCAGTATTTATTGTGGAGAAAAACATGGAAGCGAGGGCACACGGGGAAGTAAATAGTGATGTCTTGAAAAGAGTCCACATAACAGAAGAGAAGTTGCTGGGGGTCTTAAAATGCATAAAGGTAAATAAGTCCCCAGGACCTAATCAAGTGTATCCCAGGACAATGTGGGGAGCAATGGAAGAAATTGCAGGGCTCCTAGCAACGATATTTGTATCATCAGTAGCCATGGGTGACATGCCAAAAGACTGGAGGGTGGCTAATGTTGTGCCATTATTTAAGAAAAGCTGCAAGAAAAAGCAAGGGAACTACAGACCAGTGAGCCTGACGTCAGTGGTGGGTAAGTTGTTGGAGTGGATTCTAAGAGACAATTGGAAAGGCATGACTGATTTGGGATAGTAAGCACAATTTTGTGCATGGAAAATCGTGTCTCAAAAACTTAATCAAGTTTTTGAAGAGGTGACCAAGAAGATAGATAAAGGCAGAGTGGTAGACATTGTCTACATGGACTTTAGCAATGCCTTAGACAAGGTTTCACACTGTAGAATGGTTAGTACGTTAGATCACATGAGATCCAGGGAGAGCTAACCAATTGGATACAGAATTGACTTGATGGTAGGAGAGGATGGTGATGGTAGAGGGTTGTTGTTTAAACTACAGGCCTGTTATCAGCAATGTGCCACATGGTGTGGTGCTGGGTCCACTTTTATTTGTCACTTATATAAACAATTTGGATGAGAATATAAGAGGCTTGATTAATAAGTTTGCAGATGACACAAAAATTGGTTGTATAGTGAACAGTGAAAAAGGTTACCTAAAAGCACAGCTGGATCGTGATGAACTCGGCCAGTGGGCCGAGGAATGGCAGATGGAGTTTTAATTTAATAAATGCGACCTGTTGCAGTTTGGTAAGACAAACCATGGCAGGACTTACACAGTTAAAAATAGGAGTCTGGAGAGTGTTGTCGAACAGAGAGATCTAGGGGTACAGGTACATAGTTCCTTGAAAGTGGCATCACAGATAGACAGGGCGGTGAAGTTGGCATTTGGCCGCTTTTCTTCATTGGTCAGAACATTGAGTACAGGAGCTGGGATGTCATGTTATGGCTGTACAAGACATTGGTAAGGCCACATTTGGAGTACTGCGTACAATTCTGATCACTCCGCGACAGGAAGGATGTTATTAAACTGGAAAGGTTGCAATAAAGATGTATAATGATGTTACCAAGACTGGAGGAGAAGAGGCTGGATAGGCTGGGACTTTTCCCCCTGGAGCATAGGTGGCTGAAAGGTGACCTTATAGAGATTTATAAAATCCTGAGGAGCATAGATAAGGTGAATAGCCAAGGGAGGGGTTAAGGGAGTCCAAAACTAAAGGGCATATGTTTAAGGTGAAAGGGGCAAGATTTAAAAGGGACCTGAAGGGCAACTTCTTCACACAGAGGATGATTCTTATTTGAAACTGCCAGACGAAGTGGTAGAGATGAGTACAGTTACAACATTTAAATGATATTTGGACAAGTAAATGGATAGGAAAGATTTAGAACGATATGGGCCAAATGCAGGCAATGGGACTAACGCAGTTTGGGATACTTGGTTGGCATGGAAGAGGTGGGCCGTAGGGGCTACTTCTGTGCTGTATGACTCTATGGCACTGGTGGAATCATAGGTCTACAAGAAGTCTTTTCTCTTTATCCCAAGTATCTACATTTCCATCAGCCAAAAGCATGTGTTCTCACTCAGATATCCAATATTTATCAGGGGGTTGGTTAGCTGGTTTGCTATGCAGAGCAATGCCAACAGCAAGGCTGCAATTCCTGTGCTGGCTGTTGTTTCCATGAAGGACTGTCCTTCTCAACTCTTCCCCTCACCTCAAGCATGATGACCCTCAGGTTAAACCACCACCAGTCAACTCCCTCTAATACAAGAGCAGCCCCACAGTCCAGTAGAACCATGGCAGCTTTACCTTTATGTGATATCACTGGTGGAAAGCACAATTCATAATGAAACATGAAAGTTATTTCAATGTCCATATCACATTTGTTTAATATCCACATGCCTTATGACTTTTGTAAATAAAATGAAGTAGAATAAATGTAGTGCTCATTACCATAAAGAATGAAAATGGCAGATATTGAGAAAGCACCTTTCAGAGTGAAGGTAAAACACGAGAAATTTGGATGAATGGAGGTAAGAGCTAACAAGTGTAAACCATCATTATAAGAATTATAACCCAGCCAAATAAAGCAATCAGCCTGTATTTTTGGATGGGCTGCCAAAAAATTCTAAAAAGTGAACCAGACACTTGTGGGTTTCATTTTCATTGTGTGTCATGTTTAGTGTGATACTTCATACTATCCTCATATTCCAGACACAGCACTGAAACAGTGTGCTAATATAGCACTGGCAGGGATGTACAGTCATGTATTAATCTAACGCTGAAAAATAATGCATAGAAGGAATTAAAAAGCTTATTAGAAGTCATGATTTTAGATGTATGTTTTTGGTACTTTCTGTTACAGAGGCATTGGTTACTAAAACTTGGAGTATCAATTTTTTTGTAATTTTTAAAGAAAAATATCAGAATGGAAGTCCTTATCCCACACACGACCATGGCAACTAAATCCACCCCACCCAATTCTTACCCTCCTGCATTTGAATTCAGTTAAAGGCTCGATTTCAACATGCACACTGAAGAAAACAAGATGCTACAATATGCATATTGATGCAAGAAGCAAACAAAAACAACTGTAGGCATCTAGGTTTCACCTCCTTGGTGCAATCTTTGATTTGTTGCCCTTCTCCATTCTTCAGTTACGAGGATCTATTTCAAAGCAACCCAGCAACAAGAGCTTCTGATCTCTAGTCATGCCAGGGCAATGAGTCTGAAATCTCACAACAGTTCCTGCAGCATTTACTTCCACTCTTGTTATTTTTCTCCTTTATTCCTACACGCCATGTGGGTGCCATAGACATGGCCATCAGTCATGTCCATCCCACACTGCCTTTAGCTTTGAATTCAATTGTTCTTGAATTGATCAGCTTTCTAGGGCCATTTCAAAGGGCAGTTGAGAGTCAACCACATCGTTGTGGGTCTGGAGTCACATGGAGGCTAGACTGGGTAGGGATGGCCAATTACCTTCCCTAAAGGGCTTTAGTAAACTAGACGTGCTGCTGACACAATGATTTAGATTAGCTTTTAATTCCAGATTATTAATCACATTGAAATGGGATGATGGGAGTTGAACCCCTGTCCGACAGGACACGCGTCTAAATTTCAAGCCCAGTGACAATACCACTACCTTATTTCCGCAGGAAGAACTCAACAGAATGTATGAAAATGAAATTCCTTAACCCATTTCCAACCCGAGGGAAATCTGCCCCTGCGAAGGGGAAAGGGGAGGGGGAATAGGGAATGACGACTTCCCCAAAATAAGAAAACGAACAGACAGGACGAACCTAGTAGGATAGGATAGGCACACATACAATGCTATATCACTGTCACTGTAACCCAGGCTCCTTACCTTTCCGTTCTGGGCTGTTATAGACTGAGGGCACTGAGTGAGCAACAGTAACAGCCCCAGCGCTGCAAAACGCCACAAACTGACACTTTCCATTGCTTCAGCATTCGTCAGCTCAGATCGGCGAGCTTTTTTTTCGTTGTTCTCCCTTCTTGCTTCTCCTTGCTCGGCGATCCTAGAGGTCACAGTGGAGGAGAGCTGAGTGGATCCAGAAAACACACTGGCCGATTGAAACAACAAATGGATTGGGGAGGGGAGGGGTCGGTGGGAACACGCTCATCTGCTGCGCGCCTCGACCAGTTCCCAGCTGCAAGTGGACATGAGGATGGGAATTAAAGCGACAGCCCTGTAGCTAGGCTCAGAGTTGTTTTGGAGGGGGCAAAAACATCACGTGGATAAGAATCAATGCATTTGGAACGATTTACTTCTGTTTGATGTAGAAATGCATAAGGACCCAAGTATTTACATTTAAAAGTGGTCCAGAAAACAGGAACATTGCAGATTTCCTCCTGCCGTATCAGAGCGGGACAGATGTTCGGAAATCCGCCGGTTTCTACACTGACATTGAAAATAATAATAATATCCCAGGTTTTGGAAGGGGGGTGGCCCGGGATGTTTCCGCTCGGTTCAGTCGTCTCCCGGGCACTGCCAGTAGTTCACTGCAGATTTGTGTCCTCTAACCCTGCACTCTGCAGACAGTTCAGTCCAAAGCAGAGAAAGGAAAAAAAAACACACACACACAAAAGTCACAAAAGCTTCCGGACCGTCCCTTCATATCTTACATATCAGAGAAGAGGGCGCTTTCATTCCAACTCCCCACCACCAAAACATAGAGGAAAACAAACTTTTCTGAGTAAGAAATCTCACGTAGAGACAGGTTCAGTCAAAGCCCTCGCCGTTTAATGTTCACATTGTGGTTAGCCCCGCAATACATTCCAGGTCCCATTTCCTTCATGAAAGCACGAACAGAAAAAACACGGCGTTTGCACATTTTTCGGTCTCCTGCAATGACTCAGGGCTTAATGAAATTTTCTGGTCAAAGAAGGGCTGATATTTGCAACCGTTAGCTTTTTTTTAACTTGTTGTCTCTCACGGGAAGTAGCTGGTTACAAACATCCCGATATTTGGGTCCATAAAACATTCCTAACGGGCGTACTTCTGCAATTTTAGTCACTGGATGCAGTTTCGATTATAAAGTATTTTTGATCTCGTCTCTGTAATTTGCCTTCGTCTCTCTGTCCATTAATAATTGGCACAGTTAGTTCTTTGTGGTCCTTGGTCTGAGCGTTGAGATTCTGCTTTTGGTGGCTGCCTTGATTTGAAGTATATAAAATATTACAATTCGAGGGTATTCAAAATACATCCACATCCAAAATCATTTGGACAAATGTTCGTTTCCCTCCTGGCTACGCGCATCTTATTCAGCTACATGTTGAACCACAAGTTATACTTTTTACAATTTCAACTGAGTTTCCATCGCTGTTTTAAATGATAGTGTAGTCCGACTAAATTCATATTCACTGTGACAGTCTATTCTCAACCAGAACCCCATTCAATGCACCAGGTGCCATGCAATGCCAGCCAAGCTGTGCCATTTCGATTTCCTTTTCAATTTCTTTATTCAAAGTGCTATGTAGCTATGCCAACACAATCCCCATTCAATGTCTGAGGTAGTTATGCCAACCCAGTACGCCATTCAATGGGCTAAACAGTTATGCCAACTTTGTGTACATTTAGTGGGTTAAGTAACTATGCCAACCCGAGCCAGATTCAATGTATTAGACAGCAGTTTTTCATAAGTCAACTACTTGAAGCATGAAATACCCTCTCAATCACATTTAGGTCAAGTTTGGCTGCATTTATAGTCATCTCCCTCTGTTATCTTTTAAGATAACTAACTTTTCAGGCCCACCAATTCCTCCATAATGATTTCAACTGATGAATTTTGTTCCTGGTCTTGGAATTTCACTACAAAATTCTCACCACTGTTCATCGAATTAACCTCCTTTGTTTGTCTTTTTTTTAAAGTCTTTTGGATTTCCTTGTCATTTTCTGTCTTTGGAATCAGAAGGTTGTGACTTAAAGTCTCATTCTAGACACTTAAGCATGATATCTAGGCTACTGTCTAATCTGAGGGGGTGCTGCATTATTGAAAGAGCCATCCTTTGTTATTAAATTGAGGATCCATTTGCTCATAGTACTAATTTGATGAAAGCAAGGCTTTCTCTTGGGTAAGTTGACTGTATTTATACCTCAATCAATAGATTATCTAGTTGTTAATACATTGCTATTTGGAGGACCTTGTTATGTTTAAATTGGCTGCCACATTTCCTACATTACAGCACTGACAACACTTCAAAAGCACCTTGAATTCAGGAGGACATTCTTTGTGTGGAAAATAATTAGAACGAATATTCCCTCTTAGTTGCACGGCCCTTTGGGATTTTTGCAAACATCTATCAGATGCTCTTCCCAGAGTTGGTGCCACATGCAGATGTTAAAGGTCCATTCAACAGCATGATAAATTAAAGGGAACATAGAGTAGGATGTGGAACATTCTGTCCCAAGAAGTAATTGAAGTGAATAGAATTGATGCGTTTAGGAGAAGGGACACATTGATGGACTTAGATAAAAAGAAAGATGTTGGTGTGTAGCATCACCATGGGCATTGATCAGTTTGGACCATGTTTCCTGTTGCTGTGCTATAAATATTTAATTGGTTTTAAAGGATTTGGGATATCCTGAAGCCATGAAAGGTGCAGCATAACTGCAAGTTTTTACTTAATTCCTCTTACTTTTTCTATGAAGTGTCTGGGTCAGTACAAAGACTTCAGACGTTATTCCATTAATTTTCCACAAGGTATCAATAAATCCTTTTTGTTCTAATCAACCTATTTAAACTCCTAATGATTTCCTTCAAAATGCTGCTCTACAGCCAAACAATGCTAACAGTTTGCCCATCTGGCACACCCAATCTTGCTTCCTGCTGAACTCAATGACATAATTTTAATTGTTTAGCTATTTTACAATTTTGACACCAATATATTTACTTGCCATTTTTCAGGAAAAAAAATACATTTACCATTTATAAGCTAGTGGCTAAGTGGCTGTGTATTTTTTGAATGTCATCCATTGTTCTGAAATGTCTTTCTCTGTGCAATTCACAAATCTTTACTCATCATACTCTTGTAAAGAAATGCGTTGGTAGAAACTTTTAAGATCCCAGATCTGAAAATAGTATTTTTGTTAATGGATGACATTCAATAAAAATTGCAGAGCCCACTTACAGAAACATCTTCAGCAATTAGTGCCCATCCCCTCATGTATTTACCCACAAATAAGAACCTTTACAGATGTATTCTCCTAGAACAGATCACTGGAAGAACTTACTGGAAATTCTGATTTGCACTCTTGTGGCTAAGGCTCAGTCAGTACAGGGAATACAAATTAGCAAAATGATCCTTTTACTTCCCAAATTTAAAAACTAACTGGACAAGGAAGTCCTTTGTCTATCTAAGAAGTATTTTGTTACTGGAGGTAGCGCATTGAGATAGATAGAAAATTGGTTAGCAGACAGGAAACAAGGAGCAGTAATAAATGAGGGTCCCAATCCGAAACGTCAACTTTCCTGCTTCTGTGATGCTTCCTGGCCTGCTGTGTTCCTTCAGCTCCACACTGTGTTGTCTTAGTAACAAATGAGTCTTTTTCTGAACAGCAGGCAGTGACTAGTGGGGTTCCACAGGGATTGGTACCAGGACCCCAACTATTCACAATGTATGTCATTGATTTAGGTGAGGAAACTAAATGTAATATCTCAAAATTTGTAGATGCAGAAAGTTGGGTGTAAGGGTGAGCTGTGAGGAGGATGAAGAGATGTTGCAGTATGATTTGCACAAGCTGCACAGAGATAATGTGGATAAGTGTAAGGTTATACACTTTGTAGCAAAAATAGGAAAGCAGATTATTATTTGAATGGCTGTAAATTGAGAGAGGGGAATGTTCAATGAGACCTGGGTGCTCTCAAGCATCAGTCACTGCAACAAGTGCAGCAGGATGTAAAGAAGACAAACTGTACATTGGCCTACATAGTTAGAGGACCTGAGTACAGGAACAAGGATGCCTTGATGGAATTGGTATTGGTATTGGTGAGGCCACATTTGGAATATTGTGGGCATGTTTGGTCGTCTTACCTATGGAAGGATGTTCTTGCTATAGAGGGGGTGCAGCAAAGGTTTACCAAATTAATCCCTGGGATGGCAAGATCAACATATGGGGAGAGATTGAGTCAGTTAGGATTGTATTCACTGCAATTAGAAGAATGTTGGGGATCTCATAGAAACTTATAAAATTATAACAGAACTAGACAGATTAGATGCAAGAAGGATGTTCCAATGGTGGAGGAGTCAAGAAACAGGGGTTATAGTTTAAGGATACAGGGTAAACCTTTTAGAGCTAAAATGAGGAGAAATTTCTTCACCCAGAGAGTGGTGAGCCTGTGGAATTCATTACCATTGATATCACTCATCTTTAACATTTGGGAATTCCAAAGATAAATTTTCGACTATCTTAATGTTGTTTCAGCTCATGTAGTCTATTCTTTCAAATATACTCTTTTAATTCACTAGAAAGTGGTTAAGGTCAAAACATTGTGTGTTTTCATGATGGAAATAGATGTAGCTCTTGTGGTTAATGGGATAAAAGGATATGGGGGGAAGGTAGGATTAGAGTAGTGAGCTCAATAATCAGTAATGACCATATTGAATGGCGAAACAGGCTCGAGGGGTTGAATGGCCTACCCGCACTCTTATCTATGCTTTTTTGTTTCCATATGTGAGTTCAACATTTCAGTGAAGATAGAGATAAAAATATTAGAAAGCTAAATGTAAAGAAGTTATCAGTAAGTGAGTGCAAATCATGCCAATTAACATCCACACACATTCTAAAAGTCATCAGTTATTAAAAACAATTTACTTACACTGTTTCATTTCAGTGATGTGTGCCATTGTATAAGCAGTGTACATTATATTGAGAAACAAAGCATTGCTGTAAATTAATAGAAGAATATATTTTCTTCGCAGATTCAGGTGATGTCACGGGCTAAGAAAATGGTATTTGAAGAGTTTTATTACCATCTGAAGACAAGATACGATTGTTGTCTTTATAATGATCCCCTACCAATCCATTATTTTATATAATACATCAAATAGATGTATTAAACCTAACCAATTGTTGACATGTGTTACTCTTTCAAAGGCATGCTTTCCTTTGGTTGCCAGATGTCAGAGTCTGATGTGTTTAGCCAATGCTCAGCTGATGCATTGCAGTGTCCCTAATGAAGATCGAATCTGTGGAATTCCCTGCCCACTGAAGCAATTGAGGATACCTCATTGAATGTTTTTGAGGCAAAGATAAATAAATTTTTGAACAGTAAGAGAATTAAGGGTTAAGGTGACCAGGCGGGTACGTGGAGCTGAGACCATGAAAAGATCAACTAGGATTTTATTGAATGGCAGAGCAGGCCTGATGGACCAGATAGCCTAATCCTGCTCCTATTTCGTGTTTTCTTATGAACTAAGGTGCTTAATTACCCAGATGTTAATATACAATATTAATTTAAATAAATATTATAATGTTTATCTATTTACATTACACATTCAAGCCAGCTTTGATACTGCCTTTGAGCCCCTCCTCCTCCTCCTCTTTGTCTAATCTTCACAAGAATTTGTGAAAGAATAAATTTTCATCCTTAACATAAATTTAACATGTTTCCTAATGTCACTCATTTCTATCATTTGGGAATTCGGAAAATAAATTTTCAACTATCCTAATGTTTTTTTCAGCTGATGCAGTCTACTCTTTCAAATATACACTTTTAATTATTAATATTTGATAGCTTGCCTGATTTCGCCGGCACCTGCGAGATGAAAAGTAATCATCATGGTGGTGCCACTAGAGGGCAACAGAGTATTCACATGATGTCAGAGGAGACTAAATAGTTCAATAAAACAAACCAGATTGTCTCTCCCCACCCTGAAAATAACTCTAATAATGAAACAGCTGTGCATTACTGAGTGAGATCACTTCCCTTAATGGTTACAATTAAAATTGGCAGAGAAAAAATCTTCTCAGCTGTCCAATTCTTATATGTTTAAACTTAATTCATACAGATCCATTATTAAGACTGAATAATATGTCTTCCTAATAGCAAGTTGATTTGCAGTTTGAGTTAATGAACTCCAAACATTGCTATTAATTTAATATTGAAGCTAAAGAAATCAATTCTGGCACCAGGATCTTGGGAGGGTTGGATATGATTCCCTTCTGCAAGGAGGCCCAATCCATTTGGAAGGGACTGAGGGATTGAAGGCTGCTGAATAATCATACAGTCCTGTTGGTCCCAAGGCTAAAAGAGGCAATTCTGATGGGGTTGGGTGTGGTGTGGGATGGGTCAGCCAGAGTGATAACTGTCCATTCTGGGTTTGTGGAGCCCGGTAAGTATCCCATCACTTCCGAGCTTCACTAAAATGAAGATGAACTCACCTCTGAGGTTGTCTTTGGTCAAACCAGCTGCTAGGCTGGAGACTTCTGACCTGGATTGACCCCAGACTGGGGCAAGGTCACATTACATTGAAGTTTAATTAACGATAAGACGTGGTTTTGATGAAACCTCCTGGACTGGTTTCACGACATCAAAAATCTGTTTTTCTCCTTGTAAGTGTGGAGTTTTATCTACTCTTTGTCTTACCTCTTCCACAAGATGACATGCCAGCAAGGGGAAGTCTGTGTGTATGTGTGTGTGTGTGAGTGAGAGAGAAAGAGTGTGTGTGGATATTGCATAGTGTGGCAGGGTGAGTGAATGATGGAAAAGCATGATTTGGTTGTTCAAAAAGTGGCAGAATATGCATGGCAAAGATGGCACCAGGGTCCTGTTGACATAATTGGATACTCATTTCAATATTTCAATAAACTGACAGCCCTCTTCAGATGGCCTGCTCAGAAGCCAGCAAAATGGAAATGGAAATTGCAATAGCAGTCAGGGGACAGTAAGTGCTTACACACTCCATTTAAAAAAACAGCAATGGCACAGTTTAAACAGGCAGGAGACTTGAACATTCGGTTCTTTTAACTTTTCCATTTACAATTTCTCAAAAATTGTAAAATTGGAAGTCTTCTCATTATATGTATAATTTCACTGACAAAGGCCGGGACTTTTTTCACTTTTTCTTTCACCTGTATGTCAAAATGGCCCGATAAATGCAGTAGAGGAGAAGCCCAGACAACCCATATGGAATATATAAAACCAGATGCATTATAATTACCATATTGACACCAAGGTACTGAACTCATTGAGGTGTTAAGCAATTTGAATAGCTTGTTTTACTCACACTTCCATGATTAATTCACATATTGGGAGATGAAAGTGTTCAAATCAAGCCATGGTGAGGTTCAATTTCAGATGGGGTACCCCAAGCTTTTAAGCTCCCAGTTGAGGAGCAATGAATTGGTTCCCCTTTGTTATTCATCCATCCCCTTGGTTGGTAGCAACAAGGTTAATTTAACAAAGATCCTCTGCTTTGTGGATACCTTTCTCGCAGACCCAAATGAACTTATGTTTTAAAAGAAACCAATTTAACCAGGCTTTCTTGGGGCAGCACAGTGGTTCAGTGGTTAGCACTGCTGTATCATAGTGCTAAGGACCTGGATTCAATTCCAGCCTCGGGTGACTGTCTGTGTGGGTTTCTGCTGGGTGCTCCGGTTTCCTCCCACAGTCCAAAGATGTGCAGGCTAGGTGAATTGGCCATGATAAATTGCCAGTCGTGTCCAGGGATGTGTAGTCTAGGTGGATTAGCCATGGGAAATGCAGGGTTACAGGGATAGAGTAAGGAGGGGGTCTGGGTGGGATGCTCTTTGGAGGGTCAGTGCAGACTCGATGGGCCAAATGTCCTGATTCCATACCGTAGGGATTCTATGATTCTTGAATTAACAAAAACAATAAATGAGCTCATTAATTGTTACACAGAAGAAGAAATAAGGGATGAGCATAAGGAAGTAATTAGTCCTGGAATTGTTCACAAATAGTGAGCATTGAACATTGTGCCCATTACTGTGGAGGTTCCTAGGAGCACTGACATTAATAATTGAACAATTAGTTTCATGATTCGTAGTTTTGCTGATTGGTTGAGATCCTTTTTAATTCCTGTTCATCACGATTAACTTCCAACACTTTTTTATTAATTCGTGGTGTGGGTGTCACTGGCTAGACCAGCATTTACTGTCCATCCCTAATTGCCCAGAGGGCAGTTACGAGTCAATTGCATTGCTATGGGTCTGGAGTCACATGTAGGCCAGATCAGGTAAAGATGGCAGTTTCCTTCCCTAAAGGACATTAGTGAACCAGATGGGTTTTTCTGACAATCAATAATGGACTTGTGGTCATCATTAGCCTCATAATTCCAGACTTTTATTGAATTTAAATTCCATCATCTGCCATGGCAGGATCCAAACCCAAGTCCCAGAATGTTACCTGGGTCTCTAGATTAACAGTCTAGCAATTATACCTCTTGGGCTGTCACCTGCCGTTGAAAGAGAGAGCGTCGTCTCAGAGTCATAGAGTCACACAGCACGGAAACAGACTCTTCAGTCCAACCAGTTGATGATGAATAAGCTAGTCCCACTTGCCTGCATTTGGCCCATATCCCTCCAAACCTCTCATTCATGAACTTATCCAAATGTCTTTTAAATGCTGTAATTGTGCCTGCATTTACCATTTCCTCTGGCAGTTCATTCCACACATGAACCACTCTCGGTGTAAAAAGGTTGCCCCTTGTGCCCTTTTTAAATCTTTCTCTTCTCACCTTAAAAATATCCCCCCTAGTTTGGAACTCTCCCATTTGATGGAAAAGACCTTTTGCTATTCACCTTATCTATGCCTCTTATAAGGCCACTCTTCAACCTCGTACGCTCCAGTGAAAAGAAGTCCTAGCCTATCCAGCCTAAGAAGCTAATTGGTTTTTCTATAGAGATTGTAATCTTTAAACGTTTGTATCAAATGCAGCTTTGTCAATTCTTCTCCGCTGCTCAACAATACATATTAGCTGTTTTAGTTGTCTGAAAGAGCCACCAGTAAGTTACAAGGAAGGTCATGAATCACTCAATCAGATACCTTGGGAACACTGAGTTATCAAAATTAATTTCTCATTATTTTGTGAATGTTGTGCTCATCAAACAACAGATATTAATATAATGGAATGGAAAGTTAAAAGTGACTGTTAGTTGCATGTCCATATGCTAGAATATATCCATTGCTCATTTAAAATGTCAATATGTCTCCTACTGTGAATAGTTCTAAAGTAGCCTTTTCTAATGCACCATGCTTTGTGTGCCTGTCCTAAGAACATATTCTAGATAAGTACAGAAAATCTGACAGAATGATTGTAGCCTGTGGGTAATGGGAGAAAAAGGAAATTGATGTCAGAAATTGTGTGGAATGCTGTTCTTATTACTAGAATCTGAAAATTTTCCAACACAGTTCAACAAAACAAACTGAATAATTCCCGTGAAAAATGAACAGATTTAATTTAAGAGATCTAGGTCTTAGTCACCCTTCCTCCAGTACATGTCCTGAAGGAACTGAACTCATGACCTCGTGTATGTGACTCAGGACCTTACACATTGCATGTCCCTCAACATAACCTTTGCACACACTCTGCAGGGCCAGTCCTTGGCAGTCTGATCCAGACAGCATTATAGGTTGAGCACTTCCTTCTCCGAACTCTCGATCCTGGGTTTCTGCCTCTTCAGGAACACCCTTCAGTTACCCTTGTCAGAAGACATGGGTGTGAACCTTGCCCACATCCCATGATAGCCTCAATGAAGGGAAGCCTCTGTTTCTTTCTCCAGCCGGCCCAGAAGTGACTGAATCCCATGACCCGCTCATCGTCCAGCATTAGGTTGTTAAAGTGCCAGTATGCAGACCTCAGCTGAGTGTGGAACAGGATAAATTCCACCCACATCAGACTGTAGGCCAAGCACAGCATCTGCCATGCTGAGATTGGTGGAACTCTGGGAAAGTACACCTTTGAAATGATTCTGAATACTCAGACTGAAGGCCTCAATAAATGTGAAGGTGATGGAGTCAGGATGGAGGTATTGCCAGGTGTGCACCAAGTCAAAGGACTTGATAAAATGCCGCAACTTCCCCTCCAAAATGAAGCAAGGCATGGTTCCACTGTGGCCCCTTTCTTTAGGTTTGCAATTAAAATTCCTCCAACCCGCACCTCCCAGGACCCGATAATCACCTTTGTTGATGGAGCCAAGGAGAATGGACACTTCTCTAAAGAAGTGCTTTTGGTGAGTCTGGGCAGCCCACACATCCATAAAATGCAGCACACCCCAGCCCCACCACTGCCCCTCCCCACTGAAGCTAGTGGTCTCACACTGATTCCTTGACCACGAGATCCAGCCAAAAATTTAGGAACTGAGCAGAGAACTTACCTGGATGGGAGACAAAAGTCATATGCTTGCCTTATATTGTCTACTATCTCAATTGGATAGACATTAATTAGGAAGGTGAAGTTAATTCCTGCACGTTGTGTGATTAATGGGGTGCAGATGCATGCATATTAGATTCTGATGGTGACAAGGCCAATTTGTCTTCTGAGGACAGAGGACTTAATTGCTAAAGTTTAACTCAAAGGCGTGAATCTGAATTTTGGACTCTCACCCAATGAAGTCATCATACTGCCGTAATTCTTGCTACCCTCTGGGAACAGATAATCATACCAATGGTTAGAATCCACGTAATTAACTTGAACTAAGTGGTAAAATAGATTAGTGCTGTATGTTTTATTTAACTGGAGTCTACTAAGGACTTCATTTCTCTAGACACCAAGCTGTTGGAGACTTAGGTAATAATTGTTAGCCTAGACATAGCTCAATAAATACAGAAATAGAAAAGGCAGACTATAGAGCTGTGGCTAGGCTTTTTGTTTAACTTTCCTTAATTAGAATGCCCACTGAAATCTTAAATTGGAACAGTGGAATTGAATAGGAGTGACTTTTGTTGATCAACATGGTTCTGTATTTTGAGAAGAAACAAGAAACTCCATTGAATGGTCATTTACTCTTAAAAACATTTATGAACAGCATTTGTATAAGTAAAAGGCGATAGGACAGATATGGATAATGAAACGTTTGGAGTTATTTTGAGGGCCAGGGATGGAATGTTATTGAGAAGTTGCAGTTGATCAAAAGAAACATGAGATGATGGAAGGACAGAGGGATGGAAGAGCTCAATTAATCATGGTTAGAAGGTATATGTGAAGATTCAAGGAGTTAATGACGGGTGTATAATATTCAAGGTGGACTTTCATCCTCTGGGTTAACCAAAGAAATAGACATATATTGGGTAATTCAAATTACATTAAACTTTTGTAGGATAATATTACATTGGCAATAAAACATCTGGGCCCATTCCTGAGAAGGGATATATAAAGTAAGAGGTCATACAGTGGTAGTTCCTTACCTCTACGCTCGAAGGTCTGGATTCAAGTCCCATCTGCCCAAGATATGTTGTAATGTGTCTAAGGAGGTTGAGTAAAAATATCTACAAAGTAAAGGTGCAGTGGGTAGCGGATCAAGAAGACTTGGGCCACTGAAAAGAAGAAAGAAACGTTTGAACATCAGACATTCTGCATAATCTGGACCATCATGAGCTCTTTGACACTGATGTGTATTTTTGTTGCATGAGTATTCCATCTGAAGATCAGCACTCACCATTTTGGCAGCAGCCAATCCTGATTGGTTAGATAGAGCTCACATACACAATCTCTCAAAGTTTAAAATTATTACAGCATACAACAATACATAATTACAGAATCTTATTTGTGGGCAGAGTATCTTATACGAATTCAAATTCAAGATTCATTCAAGATGGTGGCAGAGTAAGGGATGTGAGCCTGGACTCGTCCTCTCCCATCAGCTTTATTTCTCTTTTCTTTTCCTCTTTTTGCTTTTGCTCTTTTTCTTTCTTTTTCTTTTAGGCCTCCAGAGGTGGTGCCAAGATGTACCGGACATGGCTCCACCTTATCCCATTGTCTCCCAGCAAGTGAGGAGCAGGTCCTGGGCTGACTCCCCCTGCACAGACTTACAGGCTAAGCTCAGGCTCTGGTCCGCAGCTAGGCCCGAGTGTCTGAAGGAGAAGAAGTCTCGGTCTGGCGTTACGATCTCCTGGCGTGTTGGTTTTGTCCCGAGATGGCAGTCTTGTCCTGGCGTGGAGGTTTCATCCTTGTCTGGACGTCTTCTTCATCTTTGGCATCAGGGTGTTCCAGTGACCCGGCAGGTAGTCTCGTCCAGGAGGGGCAGTTTTGGCCCAGCATGGTGGTCTTCTTTGGTGAAAGCTTCCTGGTATCCAGCAGCCCCATGTGGTGGTCTGGTCCCTGCTACATCTTCAGGGTATTCTATTATTCCTAAATTGGTTTTCCCTGAGCCCAGAAGCCGTTAACTGAACTGTGATGAACTTTGTCTTAATTTTACTCTTTGTTGATTATTATGTATGACTTCTGTAATTGATGTAGGTGCAATGGTGGGGTGACTGATAAAACTTTTCAGCGTATTTTTGACATAAAAGTACACATGACAAGAAATTTCTACTCTATTCTGTTCATCAATAAAAGAGAAAATGCTGAAAACTCAAACTGTCTGGCAGTGTCTATGAAGAGAGAATCAGAGTCACCATTAAAATCGTTTCTCTCTCCACAGGTGCTGCCAGACCTGCTGAGTATTTCCAGCACTGTCTGCTTTTATTTCAGATTTCCAGCATTTGCGGAATGTTGCTTTGCATTAGAAGAATTCAACACTGACGCTGTACCTTTTCATGGTGACTGACGTTATTACCCAGGGTGAATGTAGGAGTAACATGGGTAAGGCCCATGTTGAACCCCCTACTGCCTTGCTACTTAATACCAAAATACAAGCAAACTCAGGCTGCTTATTCACAAATCTATTTGAAGAGAGTGAGCAGACCTAATGAGGCTGCCTATTGCATGTAAAGGTGTATGAAGAGAGAAATCAGACTGCACTATCCTAGCTCTACATGATGTGGATGTGGGAAACACCCCTCTGATAAATCAACATCCCTATTGGATAGACCCAGAAAAGGTGACTCAGTGCTCTGGATTAAAGGTAATGGCGCCTTCATCCTGCAGAGCCAGAAGGCTGCTATCTCATTAGAGAGAGAGAGAGAGAGAGAGACAACTGGTGGTGGTGGTTTAACTTGAGGGTCACCACATCTCGGCAAGGGGAGAAGTTGGGAAGATTACCTCTATGGTAACCTCAGCTAATATGGGATTTGAACCCGCGCTGTCACAGTCACTTTGAATCACAAAGCATCTGTCCATCTAACTGACCCAAAGGAGGAAATTAACAACATGTGGGAGCACCAACTAATACAGCCTAGCCACTGCAAATCCCCAGTTGTGCTCACAGCCAAGCTGGATGACTTGGCAAAGTTCTGCATTGGCCATTGAAAAGTTTATGCGATGTCCAAAGCCAACTTATACCTGATACGGCAGCTAGAAGATTACATGGTTAGCATAGGTACAATCACCTACATAACTAAGATAGATTTGCTCAAGGGAACAGAAAGTTTCTCTTTACTAATCGAATGAAGGAAGTCTTTATTTTTATAACTTCAGATAGTTATACCACTGTTGAGTCATCGTATTCAAACCCTAAAATGCTCCAGCCATCTTTCCCAAGCAAATGAATTAAATAGTGCAGGCTTACCTAATTGTATAGAGCATCTAGACAATTTCCTAGGGTACACTGACACCTGTGAAATGCACTCAGATCAAGTGGAAGTCATTTTCTGGGAAGTATAGTCAGCTAATCGAATGGTCAATCTCACAAAGAGCAAGATTGTTAAAGCCATGTGACCTATTTAAACACGTAGTGGATCAAGGACGAGAACTGCCCAAGGCAGCAAAGGTACAGGCAGTGGCACAATTCCCCATTCCCATAACAAAATGGAAAATCATGACATTCTTGGGAAAATGTAGATTCTAATAAAATCTGTTCCAAATTTCAGAGCAATAGCCTTTGAAATGCTTTCTATTAAAAAAAAGGTAATATGGACTGAGAAATGTCAAGCTGTTTTTGAAAAGCTGAAGGCCATTTTAACAAATGAGTCTGTGCTTGCAGCTCCAAATTTTAAAAAAGGACATGAGAGGCGATTTTTTTTTTGTACACAGAGTGGTTAGTGTGTGAAATGAGCTACCAGAGGAAGTGGTGGATGCATGCATAGTCACAACATTTAAAAGACATTTGGATAAGTACATGAACAGGAAGGGTTTGGAAGGACATGGGCCAAACGCAGGCGGGTGGAATTGGTTTAGTTTGGGAATATGGTCGGCATGGACTAGTTGGACCGAAGGGTCTGTTTCCATGTTGTGTGACTCTATGAGAGATTGATATCTATTGAGAAGCAATTTGTATCAGTTACAGGAATCACTTTCCATTCAATTTTAAAATAAAACGTTATTTTAAAAGAAACCAAATTTTCTTCACCATTGCAAACACATTTCTATATTTTTAATGAATTTTGATTTGTAAAACGTGTCACATAGAACAGAAATCACCCAATGGAGCACACTTAAGACAATTATGAACAGTGACCAACATGCAGATAAACGCGGTTTTGACCTGATAATCTACATTGACTGAATTTAAAACACATTTACCTCTTTAACTTACTTTGGCAACCGACTGTGAACTATTGTTTCTGTGGTTTGAATAGATAAAAAGAACACTAATAATGAAACTACAGTTCAATTTCTTGTAAGTGAACAGAAAGCAGCTATCACACTCAGATGCCAGAACACTCAAGAGTACACAATTGGGTAATTGTGGAACACCCTGTTTATTTCACAATGATCTACAATTCTGAGTATTTCCATAACGCCCTTTTACAATTGCACCTAACAAGCTGATTTCTGTTACTCTAAAATTCATAACTTGTGTTTTTATTCTTCAATCTATTTGTTCATGCAGACATAGCATACTTTCAGAAGTCATCTAAGGTCTTGAGACTGAGCCCAACACTTCCTGCAAGGCCTGTATCCTGCATGGTCAGCACTTTGGCTCATTGAGGCAATATGCACCTTTTAAGTAGGTTAAAGTTGCACTGTCTTAATATTTGCACATGTTTGTCAGCTAGGCTTTGCCTATGGAAAAAGACTTTGCAATATTGTTGATCACAATAATATTTTGCCTATTTAATATAATAATGAATTCTAGCTTGTTATAATCACACATAAATATGTTCTTCATCAAGCACACTTACAAGAATATGGCACACTTTAAAAGGACTCCACACATTTAGATTCATTCTTAGTTGTTTGGAACTTTGAAAATATTTCTGATTCAGAAATGAATCGCTGGAGCTGAAGGTCAGATAGAAAACTCAAGCATTCTGTTCTACTCCAACCAACTGAAGGATGATCACAACACCAATGGAGTTTGCCTTCATCAATCTGAGTTGGATGTTGAGTTTCCTACCATTAAAAAACATAGCATGACTGTACTGCATCACCATTCTATCAGACCAGTATTAGACCAGATTAGCCTATTCATGTATACATCTTCAAACTCACATCAGTGCAGCTTGCAGGAGGTATACATGACTCCTGTGATGATTGGTGTACAAATCCATTGTCAAATTTACCAAATTGAAATCAAGCTTCCACATTTTTGCTGGCGCTGATTACCATACAAAAAAAAACAAAGAAAAAAGCAAATTTCTTTTTTAGATTTAGATATATAGAAGACGATGGTTTACCTCTCAAACTATAATTTTTTTAAAAAGTGTCAACTGTGTCAAAGAAAAGCTTGCATTTACACAATGCCTTTTCAAGACATCCCAAAGCAATTACAAACAATGAAATAATTTTGAAACATAGCCACGTGCCTCCTACGCTTGCCCCTTAATCTATATATGACCAGCTGCTTCTTTCTCGAATAGAGAGAGATAGTTTTGGTCCTTTGTGGACAATGGCTGATTAACACGTAAATAAGAAATATTGCAGCCAATTTGTGGATCACAAGCTCTTACAAACAGTAATGACCAGATCACTGAATTTCTTCAGTTCGAAGAACAAATGTGGTGAAGAAAACCATGAGAACTCCCCTGTCCTTTTTCAGATAGTGCACTGAGATCCTTCACGTTCACCTGGTTTAACATCTCCTCAGAAAGACAACATTTTAGACAGTATAGCTCTCCCTCAGCACTGAACGCAAGTGCCAGCCTGAATTTGTGCTGAGGTTTCTGGGGTAGGCCTGGAACCACAATCTTCTGCTTTAGAAGTAAGAATGTAACCCTACGGTTAACAACCCACCACCATTACCCTGGAGCCTTCAGGAATTAACAGATAATCAACTCAGCATTGAGAAATATCATAGGAACATGAAAACATAATTATTTTGATGTTTTCAATGTTTTCAAATGATATCTTAGTTGTAATATAATAGGAGGCAAGGGATTTACAAATGGGTAGCAAAGAGTTTGTCTGTGTTCCAATCAACAAGTTACGTTGTGCGCCCACCGTGGACGTGGTGAGTGACTAATGGTGGAAGCATGGGATTGAAGACATCAGGTTTATAATATACCCTCTGGTGGTATATATCCAATTAGAGCTGGAAACCTGAACTATCACCTAGCCAGATTGACAGTATCAGCAAGCTATAGCTCAGGCTCACTTTTTGGAAAAGTGTCTCTTGAAAACCATTCCTAGTCAATTTTTCATTGTATTGAAGAAGTTTGTTTCACTCCATTTTGTCTTCCATCTCCTTTTTTATCAGCTGATTAGTGACCACCTCATTGTGATTGTCCCGGGTTCATATTTGCAAACAAAAAAATCCAATTGAGGATTAACATTAGCTTTGTGTGTTTCCTATACTGAAAAAGCACTGCACACCCACACACATCCTGGTTACCTCCTGACTTCATTATTCCCACATGCAACTGGCCAGCCCCCAACATTCTACATTCCCTCAACTTGAGATTTTTCTAAATCTCTGTTCTCATATCATAACTCAGACTAAATCCCTCTC